CTCTCTCTCTCTCTCTCTCTCTCTCTCTCTCTCTCTCTCTCTCTCTCTCTCTCTCTCTCTCTCTCTCTCTCTCTCTCTCTCTCCCCCGCCCCCCGCGGGCACATGAAGTCCACGAGGGTCACAAAGAAAGCCGTTCCAGTTTTCCTTTCGTTTTTTTTCTTTTTTTTGGTAGAAGAAAATGGTTTCGTTTTTTTTTTTAATTTTGCAATTTATTTTTTTTGTCGGGAAATTGCGGTGACCGGGCGTTGGTCCGTCCGACCCCCGAAAGTCGTGGCATGTTAATGGCCGTGACTCTTTTTTATAGCTGGGCGAGGTACTGGTGGTTTAAGTTTCAAACACCTTCCCTGGCTTGCATAAAAGACAATTTGATTTTCCACACTTTGCAAATCCATGTTCCAAGCAAGGCCTGACATGTACTGTCTGTGAAGAAAACCAAGCCATCCAATCAATGAGGCTTGAAAAATCCTAGTATCATCCTACCCCTTAGAACCTCATCATTTGGTGCAGTTTGCCACCGGCGACTGAAAGAGCACAAGAAACTGTGAGCAATGGAAATTCTGCTGCAACAGACATGCCATAGCAACCGCCCTTTTTACGAGTTCCATTTTGAGTTCCATTTTGAGTTCCATTTTGAGTTCCATTTTGAGTTCCATTTTGAGTTTCGTTTCGAGTTCCATTTTGAGTCCCAAGTGCGATTTTGACGGCCATTCCATAGCAACCAGCGAGCAATGGAAATTCTGCTTCAACAGGCACTAGACGCATACCGATCCTCTATCCGGATTGACTTCCATTTGGAGTTGCATTTTGAGTGCCGAGTGCCATTTCATAGCAACCAGCAAGCAACCGAAATCTGCGGGCGGCAAAAGATATTATACGCATACCGACCCTCCGTCCAATGAGTTCCATTTTGAGTTCCAAGTGGGATTAGGACAGCCATTCCAGAGCAACCAACGAGCAATGGAAATTCTGCGGGTGGCAAAAGATATTATACGCATACCGATCCTCTATCCAATGAGTTCCATTTTGAGTCCCAAGTGGGATTAGGACAGCCATTCCAGAGCAACCAACGAGCGATGGAAATTCTGCGGGTGGCAAAAGATACTATACGCACTAGATGGCCAGTTGCGGCTTCACTCGCAAAAACAAATGCGGCCTCTCTCTCTCTCTCTCTCTCTCTCTCTCTCTCTCTCTC